TATGCTGAAACTCTCATCCATGATGTGACTATATCAGAAGACAGAGCTTTTGGAAGATGAAGTTGAGATCAGAAGGCTGAGGCCTTATCCATATGGCTAGTGGCCTTTATCAGCAATAGAAGAGAAATCTCTATGCCTTCCACCCTTTTTCCTTCTCTTTTTCTCCTCACACGTGAAAAGGTGCTGAGAAGGTGCTCTTACCAGGATGTGACTGTACCAGTACCCTCATGGTAGAGTGTCAGGTTCTAGAACTGTAGAAAGTTAATTTCTACGGTTTGAGTTGACATTTTGTTATACCCAATACAACACAGAAGAGACAGTCAAATTTTTGGGTAAAAATGTGTATTAACATAAAATATGATCAATTAATTCTCACTTGGGATATCAAGAACAGTTTCCTAAGGAGAGCATAAGAAATATTTTGAATGCTAGAGTCAACAGTAGAAATGAAAAAAAATCTAGAAGTTACTTCATGTAATATTGTACGTGTAATATTATACTTTTAAACTTTATTACATCCATTGAAATTCTCCAGAAATTATGACAAGTATAAAGCAGCAGTAAAAATAACCTATTATACTCTATTAGTATGCAATATTTTATTCTAATCTATCCTTTTCTGAAAGCTTAATTATGTAGTCCGTATGTGATTAAATTATTGAAGTATGCACTCAGTGGGACATGTGAGAATCCCTTTCTCAATCTTTTCTAAGGTGCTTGCTAATCTGTTAACTGATAAAATTTTGCGGAAGCAGAGATCAGTAATAAATTATACACACATACACACTGATAACTTAAATATGTCTGGTCAAATTTCACATTTATATACATGTGCCAATAATTCCCCATAAGGGCAAAAAAAGCCTTCCTGTTAGGTATGGTCTTCAGACTATGTTCTCCATTGTCCCTTTCCCATAAACCATATACATCTACCATTTAATATTGTTTCATTTAATATGGCAAGAGAATGTAGATGGTTGGGAAATGACAGTTAGGACAGAATTCTGTCAGTTTTTGATATATTTTCTTCTCTATTATTTTACTTTTTTCATGTTCAAAACAAATTTGACAGCACAGAGTGGTACCCCTTAGGTAGTGTTTATAAGTATTGCTTTAACTTTCATAGAAATGACTATAATAATGATAATAATAATAATAAAATAATGTATAATAATGAATACATGCATGTCATTTAGTCAAGGTGTCCAAGTATACTAACAAATCACACTGTCCAAAATATGGTGAAGAAAATAGTTGCTGATAAACATGGGACTTGATTGTTACACAGCAGCACCCACACTCATACTAAAGAAGCCTACTAGCTGTGAGCTTTTCTCATACCATTACATGCATTGTTGTTTTAAAGGGGGAAAGGAAAACATGGTCTGCACTGTTAAATGAAATTCGGTCAAGAGAATTTCTCCTGGCTTTGGTTATTTAACAATATGCAGTAATATACAGAGCAAAAAATGGAAAGACCCCCCATCCTATTTCCTCTGAAAGTATAATGATTCTGTTACAGTTTGCTGTGTCTCATTCCACACTCATTTCATCGTATTTGCCTCTATGTTATGCACATCTTCTACACACACTTACATATGTTTGTTCGTTAGGCTGTGACAGGCATCAGACTAAGATCTCATTGTGGATTATTTTTCGTACTCCTCATAATAATCCTCCGAGATAATTCCATCATTATCATCTCCATTTCAGAGACTGGTAAAGTGAGGCTCAGAGAGGTTCATTGGTTTTCCCAAGAGCATGCAGTGTTTGCTTTCTTCATGAGAGGGTTATCATACTAATGCACACCAATCCAATTAAATGTTTGCGTCAATGAATCTATGTACTCAGTAAATGCTTATTGAATGTGCACCTAGATATTCAAACCCATAGGCACCTGGAATGGGTAGCTAAATCTGTGAGCTACGTGATTTGTCCCCATGCATCTAGTCAGGAGTAGAGAAAGATTACGACCCAGATGTATTTTAACAAACTGGTTATGACAATTCTAGACACAAAGAAAGTTCAGTTACCTGAATTTTAGAACTAAACATTTAGAATATTATTGCCTCCATGAGATGAGGAATTTGGAGCCTCCACAAATCAGTGCTATTGGTTATGACCCAGTAAATTGGACATCATATAACTAAGTTCTGAAACATTTGCTTAAACTAACCCAAGGACTAGGGATGTGGTAGAGCACTTGTCTAGCATGTGTGAAACTCTAAGTTTGACTTCCGGTTCGTCAAAACTAAAAGTTCTGTTTAGAAGGCAGACAATGCTCTACTTCTATACAAGGGAGATGAAACCAAGACAAGAGTCAGAATTGGAGGCTCAATTTCTTGAGTAAGGAGACTGACTGGTGGCAGAGATGTCTCCAGAGGAGCTATATGCAAATGTCATAATGTGCCATCCTAACCAAGAGCAGACAAATATTCAGAAAATCAAAAGTCCTACAGGAGAATATAAAAAATTGTATATAAACAGACATTCTGAGAAAGAAATCAGAACACAAACGTAGAAGAATTGGATCGTAGTGGTAGAAAAAAAAATCAAAGGTTGCGTGTTGAGACAGAACCAAAATCCTACCTATTATGTAACACATTCCACAAAGCTGGCCAATTTCAACGTACACTAGGAAGGGAAATGCCTGTCCCAAGATGGGGGTGGAGTGCTTGAGCCACAGGAGCGCCCAGACTCCAACTGCAAAAACCTCAAAGGCTTCAAGAACTACTTGGCAACATTTGCAGGGATGGAAGAATCGGTGGATTATAGCAATAAACATGGTAGGGGATCTGAAGGAAGGGAGCAAAAAGAAAACCTTGCTTGAAACCCTTCAATAAATGGCTTTATATTTCTGTGACTACAGAAGCATATAAGTAAACACATGTATACAAACATATAGAGTATGGTAGTGATAATAGGGAGTAAGTGCCCTGATGGAAAATCAGAATAAGAAGAGGGAGAGGGAGGGAGGGAGGGAGAGAGAGAGAGAGAGAGAGAGAGAGAGAGAGAGAGAGAGAGAGAGAGAGAGAGAGAGAGATATCTCAAGCTTTTAAAATGGTTTGCAAAGAAACTGGAGTCTATGATGGAATTTAGTCCTCATGACAGGAATGGTGTTGGAAAAAGTATTGCTGTCATCCCTCTCTCTTTAGAAATTCTTTTTTTTCTTCATAATAAAAATCCCGTGGCAGCTCCTTGTCTGGAGGACTTTAAAAATAGGAGCGATTTCATCTGTCTGGAATGGTCTGTGTCAGCACTTGCCCGAGGCAAGGTTGCCACATAGGCACAAAACACCCCCACTTCAATCCCCCTATCCAGCACTTTCATGTCCCACTAGACACCCCCCATGCCCTTTGCACCCCCACTTCCAGCTCCAGGCTTGCCTCCCTTTTCTTGGCCCATAGCTTCACCATGATTTCCCACATCAAATCAAACCCGCCTTCCCTTAGTCTGGTGGCCTTCTCTCCAGGTGCGAGGGGGTGCAATCTCTTTTGCCCTTCGTGGCCCATTTGAGTTTAAAAATAGGACCCTGGTTAACCCGAATGAATCTTAAATTGGAGCTCTGTGCAGTGTTACCAAAGGAAGAAAGGGCAGGGGGAGAGGAGCATATTTTTGGCCAGTGGGGGAAGTGATGGGGAGGTGGGCTGCCTTCCTGGAAGCTATTAAATCCCAGATGTAGGCTCTGTTCAGTGTGCCACTGCCTTAGAGTGACCTCTGCCCTCGCTTGCTTGCTGCTAATTCTACGGCTCAGTGACTTCCAACTCTGCTTCCGAGCACCCACACCTGGGTTCTCTCTGAGCACTCTGAGCACGCTGGGACTTTGCTTTAACTAGGAGTTTTCGGTGGCATGTTTTTGTGCCGATCAGCCAGGGTCCAATTTTCCCATCGCCTTTTTCCCTGCAACAACGACACTTGAGTTCCGGGATGGTGGCGGTTAAAGCTATACGGAGTTCAACGAGATTTGCACATAGCCCTCTTCAAAAGTGCTTGTTCCCAGAGACGCCTAAGAAAGGCACCTCTTTGTGCTCACCGCGTGGGTGGGCTTTATGAAGAAAACTACGTTTGGCTTGTGTGACCAGAATACACTGTGTGAACATTCCGTGGGCAAAACTGCAAAATGAACTTCACTCAAAGAACTCCTATGAAGAGTTTGGTCAACTTCCTGTTAGAACAGCAGCCGCTTAAGAGCATCTACTGTACATCAAGCTCTGAGCTAGACTTGGGGAGGAATTTTTCAAAAAAGGGGGAAGGGAGACAAGCAGGGTAAGATGTGTCCTCTTGGAAGTATGCAGGGTGACTGGGAACTCAGGGTCCGCTTTTGGTTTAACCTCGTGAATCTGGAAAGCTCTTCTCGGGCAATGGCAACTGAGCTGAGTAGGAGTAAGTCACACCAAGGAAAGGTGGGAAGGGCAGGCAGGCTGTGGAGAAGGAATGACTTGAGCAGAAGCACAGAGGCACGAAGCAACTTGACATGTCAGGGGAGCTGCAAGCAGGCTGAGATTAGGAGAGCAACGTGTCAGGGAGAGGGGACAAGAAATACAGCTGGAGAGGCGAGCAGGCGGAGTGAGAGGAGGGAGCCGCCAGCCTCCCTGGCTAAACAGTGAGGCTCTACCCAAAGGAGATCCCCTCAAGGATTTCACATGGGACTCTGGTAGGGTCAGATTTACATCTTGATTAAACCGTCTGTCAGTTTGGGGGAAATCATTCAAGCAGCCTACAATAAATGAATTAAGAATTTTTATGTGAAGGATGAATGTGCGGATCTAGCCATGGTTGAGTGCACAGCTATCTCTTCCAAGAGGGCTTATCATTAGTCTGAGGAATTTGGGGGGATGTGGATAAAACCATCTGTAGGTAGATCTGTCTGCATCTGTAAAGCTCCTAACATCTTTAGGGGGCGTGCAGGTCCTCTAGATGGTGGGGTTTGAAGACATGCATTGCTTTATCGTGCATTACATGCTAGGAATTCAAACTGTGCTGTAATCTGTTCTGTTTAGCAAAAATCATCTGGAAAAGCACTCTTTAACCTGAGCTGCAGTCATCTCAATCTTTCTGAAAAGGAATATTTTGGATTAGAGTTCTGCAGCCATTCTGGAAATAATGTAAGTGGGTTTTATTACGGGGTTCTGTGTATCTAGAAATGCTTCAAAATGCAGTTTGCACCTAGGTACACAAGGCTCAATACCATATTAAAAATACAAAACCTATTTATACCTTGCAAAATGACTCTTTAAAACTGTGTTCCCTCCCTCTGCTTTGTTTATTAAGCTGCCTTGGTCTGCCAAACAAATTCTTCTGCCTCCTGATCCCTTTCTGTTACTCTTTGACCAGCTATCAAAGCTTTATCTATTTTGAATGGTTGGACCTTAACCCCCAGAATTAAGACTCCTGACCTCATGACTATTTAGGGAGGTTTCTTTCCCTGTTTCTCGGACCCTAACGATCAGAAGGTTCTTATGTTGCATTTTGCCTTGGCATATCTGCAATCCTGGTACTTTCCAAGAAAGGCTCGTTATTAAGTGGGCATTGGCAAGGGTAAGGATAGGGGGACTATAGGACTCCAATGTGAAGCCAAATGTCCTTATGAGTCTTTGTTGCCACTGATGAGTCTTGCTTGTGACACCTCTATCATCCTACCAAGGCAGGGAAGCAATGATTGAAATGCCAACAACACGGCTTATAGATCAACAGTGTTCACTGTTATTGGAGAACTATGAGGGGACCGACTGAGAATGGTGATGGTAAATTATATCATTGACACGGCTTTTTGTTTCCAACTATCTTTAGAAATCTAAATAGCCCGTGTATTTGCTCATTTGATGTTGACCTTTATCTGATACCTAAAAAGGAAAGAAAAAGAGCTGTGTTCACTACCACTGTGTCCTACCAATTGTTTCACTGATGCTATTACAGGTTTGGTTGGAACTTCTGAAGTCCATAACAAAGCAAGTAAAAAGTAAGTATGGAAGACCGCTCAAGGAATGTAGTCCTCAGTTCATGTTTGAAAAATACTCCTATAGCCCCACACAACTCCTCACCATACTAAAACAGGGAAAGGGGAGGCAGGGAAAGGGGCATCAGCCCGTCATCTGGTCAGTAAATTTAGCAATAGAGACCATTGTCCGAATTTTGTCTGTGATGAAGAAGTCACATGCTGGGTCTAGGAGTATATCTGAAAAGTTCTGGTAATGATACCACCTGCGGATTGCATGAAGGAATATATCTCACTCTGGGCCCTGTGACTCTTCGTGTAAACCTGTGATAATGCTGACCTTCTGCCTGAAGACTCTTTCCTTCCGTGCCATCACAAGCCTTGTCATTTGCTTCAGGTTAGATTTAAGTGACTATTCCTGTATCTTACACTGGCCCTCATTCATGGGACAAGGGTCCTGGGGCATGCCCATTTAATTAATTCCACAGGCATTTTTTTGCGAGTGGGTCTTTTAACACTTTGAGAAACCTTGCTTCAGTCTCTCTTTCTCGTTCCCTGGTCAACTCTGCTCTTCACATACTGATGCAACTTGTGACTCTGCTTCCCCAGGTTTCTGTGACTATGTCACACAATTCCAGTAGCTTTTGAACTGATTTTCTTCAATTAAGCATCCACATTGCTCTCCAAGGGATTGGCTGAAATATATAACCCTGACCACATCTCCCTCCTGCTTAAAATGCTTCCATGGTTCCCTAATTACCTCTAAAGTCCAACCTTATTAAAATGATACACAAAGTTCTTGACTCTATAGTAAGCACTTGGTCCCTGCCACTAACCATTTCAATTCCTACCTGTGCTAACCTCCTTAGCTGTCAACTCCAGGAAGGCTTCCTCAACCTAGGTTGTGTGGTACTCAAATTCCTCTGTTTACATATTTGTCTCTCCAACAAGACTGAGGGCACTTGAGTGTCTTTTAAATTCCACAGTATCTGTTTAGAATAATATCCGTCACATGAAGGGCATCCAGAAAAGATGCATTTAATGAATGACACTATTGCTTCTTGTGTATGGTTACTTCTGATCTAACAAACTTTATTCTTTTTTTCTGGTACTGAGGATGGAACCTCAGACCTTGTACATGCTAGCAAAGTGTCCTACCATTGAGCTCCACCCCCAACCTCAAGTTTCTCATTTTCAAATGCAAGTAGGTGTGAAAATATGTAGACGTGTTTTCCTAAGGCTATATTTTTAACGTTGATAGAGGCATTGGTTCACATTGTTTCTTAATCCTTATTATGAAAGAAATCTTTAAGACATCCATTCATTCATTCATGTGTTTGAGCTGAACCTATCCTTTTCTCGGGCGGGATTGAACTTTCACAGATAGCAAGTTGTAAATAGTCTTTCTGAATAACTCACTTCCTAAGAAAAGACAAAGCAGGCCTCAAATGGACATATCTTTACAAAAGAAAACCAAAGGGAGAAAGGGTGTGAAGGAGGGATAAGCTGGAGAGTTTCTCAATAGCTATCCATGTGATAGCAGGGTGCATGTGAAAAACTGAAATTTAAAATAAGTCTATGGAAAAGGATAATGGAGAGGGGATGAAAGTAGAACATTGTGTGTATGTGTGTATGTGTATGTACGTGTGCATCAGTGTGTGCGTGTGTATGTGCACGAGTGTGTACGTGTGTGATCTTAACTGTTGTAATGAGCATTTAATAAAACTTATGGAGATATTGTGTTTTAAGATCCTAAGGAGGTTGTTTTCAAATTTATGGTGAAATTTTTCCCAGTGGACCCTGGACACCTTCGGGAAGAACTCACGAGGTAAGGTGTTTAACTGTATGTGTGCTGAATGATGTTACTTGAGAATACCCATCCTCCAGCTATTGAAGAAAGAGCTATGGTTCCTTTTTGCATGGCTTAGGTTTAAGTCACTCTCTGAGACAAGATGAGGGGCTAGAAACAGGGAGGATTTGGTTCTTCCCCCAAATGTTAATCTCTTCAGATTTCAGAACTAAGAATGGGTGAGTGGCAAACCTGGGCGGCATTTTGAGGTTTAATCCACTAACGGCCACAGCGGTATGCAGGCTGTTTCATGCCATCTGTGCTTCATCAGCATATAGCTTTGAGGCCAGCCCATGCTCATGAGCATTGAAAATGAATGTGTATAAGGATGTATTCCATAGGTGGAAAGGAAACATTCTGTGATGACGATATGTGCTTATGAAAATGCTCTTTATAATTGCAGTAAAACCTACTTTAGCAAAATGACATTGGCGCTATAAAACTCCTCGAAAACATAGTCTGCTTTCTAGACTGAGACTGCTTCATACAGAAAAGATCTAGGTCGTTAGATTATAGATAAGGAACATGTCCTGGAAGCTAAAGTTAACTTGAATTAGAAACCACAGGTTCATTTCCCTGGAGTCTGCCCCTACCACATGGGGCAGACTGACTTACTCCTTTGGTGTGGGGTCTTTGCACAGTTGCTTGCCCCGTCTTCCCTGCTTCTCTCCACATTTGTCTGCTGTCAATCACTTGCCAAGATAGTTTGATATTTTGCTATGTAAACTAGTTTGTATTCACTAACTCTTTGTAGTTGGGTTTTAAACTATGACCAATTTTTATGGAGATGAACTTTCTCGAAAACGCGAGAAACAATAATTGGATGATAAATGTTTAATCAATTATTCAGAGTAAGGATCTGTAGCAGGCAGCCGCCTTCTTAGGTGATAGATAGCCCATTACTACTGAGGCAGAATGTTGCCTTCTTCACAGCAATGGACAGTCAAATGACAAAAAGCTTCCTTTCTTCTTGCTAAGAACAAACTTAAATTTTCTTTTGCTTTTGAAATTGGGCTAATTAATATCATATATATCTACATTTGAAAACAGGCAATGGTAAATGTTAAGATTACATTAAGTTTTCCTTGTTGCTCCATTTAAGAATAGCTAACTGAGCCGGATGTGATCACTCATGCCTGTAATCACAGCACAGGTCGAGGCAGGAGGACTGCCATGAGCTTGAGGGTAGCCTGGGATATGTAGGGAATTCTGGGCTAGCCTGGGCTACAAAGTGGGACTTGGTCACACACACACACACAGACACACACACACACAATAACACAGCAGCAACTACTAACAGAAATAAAAACTATCTGTTGTAGATATTAAAAATATACCTTGTTTGGGGCCAATGCATGGATTTCTGAAAATATTACACAAAAATAGCTGTTTTAACTGAGTCATTTCTAGTGCATTAGAGGTACTCACTATTTGAAGGGACATAATGGTTAAAGCTTCCATGAACTGAATAATCACTTGACAAGATTCCTCAGAGCAGATTTTCTTTACCTCCTGCAACTAGTTATCTTTTATTACATTGCCTTCAGGGCGTTAGCTATTGAGGACTCCACATAGAATTTAGTCTGGAAAATTACATTTTATATAGGGAAATACAGTTGGTAGTGCATGTTTTTGCATATAGAAGACATTGGAACTGGTTTTTGCTCTGGACAAGAAAGCAGACAACAGTAGAGCCTTTCTTCTACACTTATTCACCAAAATGTGGACCCTGTGTCTGGAGAGATGGCTAATTACAAAAGCACTTGCTACACAAGTTCAAATTCCTGCAACCCACAGAAAGCTGGAAACAGGCATATCTGCAATTCCAGTGTTTCTACACTGAGATAAGAGGCATACCTAGAAGCTTGCAATCCAGCTAAATTAATGTACAAAATCCTATTTACATAAGGTGGAAGACAGGGATTGACACCCAAAGTTATTCTCTGACCTCTGAACACACACGTGTGAACAAGCATGTACACACACACACACACACACACGTAAAAACACAAAAGTGAGTTCTCCTTTACTAAGTTCTTAAGTGTGTGTGACAAATACTCAGTTCAGTAGAGCCCTAAACACAAACCTGCATTTTATGGTCCTCGATGAAGGTTCTGCAATCCCTGAGTTCATCAACCATTAGTTTACACCTGCTATTTGTAAAGTACTCAGATGGGCTCTCGTTGATGGTAACATAGCAATGCAGACAAGGGAATAAGGTTGGCACAGGCATGGCTTGATGGCCTTGATTCCTGAAATACACTTTTTGGGTAGGTAGTCTACATTCAGTGGCAGATGTTAGGTCTGGCCATAGTTTCAGTATCTTAGAGTGTTACCAACTGTTCGGAAGGGCCTGGCCCCTGTCTTGCTATCATTGCATCATGGAGTGACTGCCCCTGCTCCACTAGCCTCTGGAATTCTTATGGTCCTTCCTACCTGACAGCTGTTTGTGTTCTCCCGGAGTCCGCTCAGGCCTGCTGAGGTTCCTGATTCTCTAGCTCAGGGTGTGGTTGTTTCCATAGCATGAAGTACCAGAAGAGGGTTGGCTGGGTCCCTCAAGCTGGTGGCAACCTACAGCCAGGGCAATTCCTAACTGTTGCAGAACCTGCCAATTTGCTGGGTCAGCCAGTTGTGGGATGGGGTTGGTTTGGTTCTGAAGCAAAGTGTATGCATGGTTCACCCCCAAAAAGGCCCCCAGCTTCCAGATGCTGTTCCTTCCTTCGATTATCTTGGGTCTGGAAGAAAGGCAAATTTCCTTCTATCTTCCTGCTTCTTTGTCAAGATCTTTTCCTCAAACCCTTTGCAGATATCTTTTTACTCTTCAAATAAAGAAGGATTTGGCTCTGGGAAGGCTTCCATGTAGTGACAACTGCACAGCATTGATGGTGTCACACATCTTGCAATGTAAGTACCAAAACTCTACTTCGTGGCCCATTCACCAGGGATAGAGCCAAGCAAAGGACTTTAACACCTTCAATTTTCCTGCCTGGCATTGCATTCAGCCTTAAGGGGCGAGGGGACCTGGTTCAGACACAGTGAAATGATGCTTCATTGAGATTCGAATAAAATCTTGCCCCTAACTACCTTGCCATTACAGTAAAGCAAGTTATTTTATTTCTCTGGGCCTGAATGTTCTCGTATTTAAAATAGTGACAAAAATGACGTCTCATGGAGGTGCTTCTGATGGTCTTATCCTATCTCAGTGCACCAGCCCTGCTGTCACTGTCCCTTGACTTGCTGTCCAGGGTCTGGTTTGAACAATTCTTGCCATGGACTTCACCAAGTAGGCCACACTCCTTCAGTTTTCCCTAGGCTGTATCGCAGTTCCATGTTTTCTGCAGGGAATAAATCATGGAGGGGAGAAAGTGGATAGAGGTTAAAAGGTACCAGGCATAAATGAGTGTTCCCCATGTGTTAGCAGCCAAGTAGTTTGACTAGAAGGAACATGATAGGTAGAATAGAGGAGGCCTGGGGAACAGTGGGGGCCTGCCTGGGAGGGAATTACTCAGGCCAGGCCATGCTGTTCCTGCAGCCTGGAGGGTAGGGTCTAAGCAGAGGGAGATAACATCTCTTCGAAGGCCAGCTGGACTTTATTTTGAAATGGCCTCCCAAGAATACACTGTTCCTTGATAATCCTGCAGAACCATAACTTTAGGTGGTTTTCTTTTTTGCTTATTTCATAAGTTCATTTCTGACCTCTGTTCATTACCTTCCTACCAGTCCATAATTGGTAGATTTCAGATTTTGCTGAGAACAACACTGTGAAATGCTTGGAAAGGGACAGCATCCTAGGCAGTGTATCAAGTGACTCCCAGTTGGGAAAAGAGAGCTCTGGACTACTAGAAAGGCCATAGATGGAAAATGCCATAAGAGTCAAGGAAAGCTGATGGAGGAGGTGGATTTTGTACTGGAGCTTAAAGGAATATATAGGAATTGAATGTGAATATGGGCAGAGAAGAAAGCATAAAAATGGTAGTGGGGCTGGGCCATGGTGGTTCATGCCTTTAATCCTAGCACACGGGAGGTAGAGGCAGGCAGATCTCTGTGAGTTTGAGACCAGCCTGGTCTACAGAGCTAGTTCCAGGACAACAGCCTCCAAAGCCACAGAGAAACCCTGTCTCGGAAAACAAAAAAAATGGTTGTGGGTCATCACATATAGGGTATGAAGAATAACCATACATAGCTCATGAATAGTGTCTAGGATATATGGTGACAAATGAAGTATCATCTTGAAAGGTCTTGAGGGCCAAGTGTCATGCATGACATGGGGTAGAGCAGATAGGAGGAGCATCCTTCTCCATTAGTTACCTCTTTAGACAGCAGTTCAGAGGTGGGGCTCCAGGTAACTTCTTTTGGGGGAGCCCAATTTTATTCTTAACAGTACTGCCTTGTGGAGTTTGGCTTTGCCTAGTGGCCATTTTGGGTAAGACCCAGAATACTTCAACTTTTCCAGAAGGTTTGTGGTCAAGACACATTCATTTTGTGGAGAAAAGGATGTGGCTCTAGTGAGTGAACACTTCACAGTCAATCCCAGTCAGACACAGAGCCCTCAAGGTCACGCACAGCCCAATTGCTCATTTATCATCCATTTGCTCACCTGCACAATACTTGCTGGGTGCCTGCTGCAGGCTAGACATTCAAGAACCTGAGCACTCTGACTTTGGCATATTATCACTTACACCTCTTTTATGCACCTCTAGTCAGATAGTCCCTACCAAACATGATTTGCATAATTCAAATTAATCTTACTTCTTCGAAACTCATAGTATAATCTTGCTTTGTCATTCACTAAACAACAAAAACTATGGAGTGAGTGCCACCTTGTTAGTTCCTGTCATAGGCATTGAGAGTACAGCAGTGAGCTACAACACCAATCCTTGTCTTCATGGAGCTCACATTTTGGCAGTGCAAGAGAGTCAGACAACGACCAAAATAAGAAAACAATCTGTGATGAATGTTCAGAGGTGTTGAGCATAGACGGGAGATGGGTGAGTCCTAGGTGTGGGTACTGAGTTTTTCAATAAAGTGTGGGAGTTAAGCCTACTGTAAGGGTGACAGTTCAATGAAGCTCTTAGGAGGCACAAAAGTAAGCCAAGGGGCCAAGTTCAGTGACATAGAGGTCCACACATAGGGAACACTGAAAAAGGCCAGAGGGGAGGTGGTGTTTAGAAACATCAAGAAGGCTTTGTGACTGCCTGGGGCCTTAGTGAGTAAGTGGAGGGGAGTTAAAATTCCATTAAAGACCTAGAGTACAACTCTCAATGAGCTGCGAAGCTGTTAAGGGCAGAAGACTGAGGTAGAAGAGAAAGAGCGTTCCCTTTTAATCTTTAGAAGCACCTCTATTATAAGGGATTCTTGGCCTCCGCTCTAAATATAAGAACAAAATCTGAATTAGATTTTAAGAAAATCATACTGACTTGTTTGGTAAAATCTAGAACTTAGAAGGACATGGTGGTAATAGAGACAATAAGAGAAGATTTTTAGGAGAGATGATAAGAGTAGGACCAGAAAGGCCTAACATTTGACATAACATTTGTTATAATTACAAGTGAAAATTAACTGTACAAATTCATGTATTTCACTGTGCTATTTCCATGTACACATGTCATTCTTTGATCAAGAATGTCTGAAGCTTCTAACTCCTCACCTTTCCTAATATTTGGTATTATGGCTATCCTAGTAGGTATAAAGAGATATAAAAAACTAGCATTTTCCTTTATTTTTTAAAGATTTATTTATTATGTTACACTGTTCTGCCTGCGTGTCAGAAGAGGGTACCAGGTCTCTTTATAGATGGTTGTGAGCCACCATGTGGTTGCTGGGAATTGAACTCAGGACCTCTGGAAGAGCAGTCAGTGCTCTTAACCTCTGAGCCATCTCTCCAGCCCTTTATTTTTATTCTTTGTTGTTTCCTACAATGAAATATGGTCAGACCCCACTGGTTTTCCACTCCACTTCCCTCTGTATCCCAAAATATATTCCCCTCCCAACTTCATGTCTTCTATTTTGTTTTGAAAACCCATTAAATATAGTTAGTACTGCCCCATAGGCATGGATATGGGGCCATCCACTGGACCATGGGGAATCCTCCAGTGGCTAGACCTCAAAGCAGAATGATTCTCCCTTCTCCAGCAGCTGTCAACTGCCAGTGGCTCCTCACTAATGCCTGGGCCCAGAGACTACCTCCCATTTGTACTAGAATTTGGGTTGGTTTGATCTTGTGGAGGTAATCACAGCTATTGGGAATTCATAGTTTACTAGCCCTGTGTGGTCACAAGACAGCATTTCCCAGTTCACTAGCCCCACTGAAGCCATCTGCCCCTGGACTTCTTTTGGTTGGAAGACATTTATGGCTGCTTCTATTTCTTTAGGGGTTATAGATCTGTTTAATTTGTTTATCTGTTCTTCATTTAATTTTGGTAAGTGTTATCTATCCAGAAAATCATCCATTTCCTTTAGATCTTCCTATTTAGTGGAGTACAGGTTTTCAAAGTATGATATGATGTTTCTTTGGATTTCCCCAGTGTCTGTTGCTTTGTCCCCTTTTTAGCATGCTCTCTCTCTGTCGTTTGGTTAGGTTTGATAAAGGTTTGTCTATCTTGTTGATTTTCTCAAAGAACCAACTCTTTGTTTCATTGATTCTTTGTATTGTTTTCTTTGTTTCTACTTTATTGATTTCAGCTCTCAATTTGATTATTTCCTGGCACCTACTCCTCCTGGGTGAGTTTGCTTCTTTTTGTTCTAGAGCTTTCAGGTGTTCTGTTAATTCTCTAGTGTGGCAATTCTCCAGTTTCTTCATGTGGGCACTTAGTGCTATGAATTTTCCTCTTAGAATTGTTTTCAAAGTTTCCCAAAGGTTTGGATATGTTGTGCCTTCATTTTCATTGAATTCTAGGAAGACTTTTATTTCTTTCTTTATTTCTTCCTTTCCCCAGGGGTGATACAGTTGAGCATTGTTCAATTTCCATGAGTTTGTGAGGTTTCTGCAATTTGTGTTGACATTGAATTCTAATTTGAAGCCGTGGTGGTCCTACAAGATACCAGGGGTTATTCTGATCTTTTTGTATCTGTTGAGGTTTGCTTTATTGCCAAGTATGTGGTCGATTTTAGAGAATGTCCCATGTGGTGCTGAGAAGAAGCTATATTCTTTTTTGTTTGTGTGGAATGTTCTATGGATGTCTGTTAAACCCAATTGGGTGATAACTTCTGTTAGTTCCTTTGCTTCTTTGTTAAGTTTCTGTCTGGAGGACCTGGTTAGTGGTGAGAGTGGGGTGTTGAAGTCTCCGACTATAAATGTGTGGGGTTTAATGTGTGATTTGAGTTCTAGTAATGTTTCTTGTATGCACATGGGTGCCTTTATATTTGGGGCATATATTTTCAGAATTGAGACTTCTTCCTGATGGATTTTTCCTATGATGAATATGAAATGACCTTCTTTATCTCTTTTGATTAATTTTAGTTTGAAGTTTATTTTGTTAGATATTAGGATAGCTACACCTGTTTGCTTCTTACATACATTTGATTGGAAAGTCTTTTCCCAACCCTTAACCTTGAGGTAGCATCTGTTTTTAAAATTGAAGTGTGTCTCTTGTATGTAGCAGAAGGATGGATTCTGTCTTCGTATCCATTCTGTTAGCCTGTGTCTTTTTATAGGTGAGTTAAGACCATTGATATCCAGGGATATTAATGACCATCGATTGCTGATTCTTGTTTGCTTTGGATCCATTTTTGGTGGTAGTTTTGTGTGTGAGTTTTCCCCTATTTCTGTTAAAGTAAGATGATCTATTGCCCATGTTATGTTGAGAGTAGTTAATTTCCTTGGGTGGTAGCTTTCCTTCTAGAACTTTCTGTAGGGCTGGATTTGTGGATACATATTGCATAAATCTGGTTTTGTCGTGGAATATCTTGTTTTCTCCATCTATATAGCAATTGAGAGTTTTGCTGGGAATAGTTGTCTGGGCTGGAATCTGTGGTCTCTTAGTGTTTGTAGAACATCTATCCAGGACCTTCTGGCTTTCATAGTTTCCATGGAGAAGTCAGGTATAATTCTGATAGGTTTGCTTTTATATGTTACTTGGCCTTTTTCCTTTGCTGCTTTTAATATTCGTTCTTTATTCTGTATGTTTGGTGTTTTGATTATTATGTGGCAAGGGGACTTTTTTTTTGGTCTAGCATATTTGATGTTTGGTAAGCTACTTTAATAGGCATCTCCTTCTTCAGGTTGGGAAAGTTTTCTTCTATGATTTTGTTGAATATGTTTTCTGCATCATTGAGCTGGGCTCCTTTACCTTCTTCTATATCTATTATTCTTAGATTTGGTCTTTTCACGGTGACCCATGTTTCATGGATATTTTGTGTTAGGGATTTGTTGGATTTAAGACTTTGTTTTGTCAATGAATCTATTTCCTCTAGTTTATCTTCAGTGCATGAGATTCTGTCTTCCATCTCTTGTATTCTATTAGTTATGCTTGCATCTGTGGTTCCTGTTTGTTTATTCAGCCTTTCAATTTCCAGCATTACCTCAGTTTGTGGGTTTTTTTTTAATTTTCTCCATTTCGGTTTTCAAGTCTTGAACTGTTTGAATTGTTTCCTTCATCTGTTTGATTGTTTTTTCTTGGCTTTCCTAAAGAGATTTGTTGATTTCTTGAATTTTTTGCTTTGTGATTTCTTCCATTTCTTTAAGGGATTTTCTCATATCCTCTTTGCAGGACTCTATCGCTTTCAGGAAGTTGTTTTGAAGGTCATTTGTTTCTGTTTCATCCGTGTTGATATGTCCAGGTCTTGCTGGTGTAGAGTGTCTAGACTCTGGTGGTGTCATACTGGTTTTTCTATTGTTGGCTGTGTTTTTGTATTGCCTTCTTCCCATCCCTTCTTTCAGTGGGAGTTTGTGGGGACTCTTCCTCTCCTGGTGGGTTTGGGTCTAAGGATCCCTTCCAGTGCGTTCAAGTAGGTCCAATACTCTGATAGGTGCAGGTGGGTCTGAGGCACTCTCAAGCACAGGGCAGAGAATGGAGGGCACTGAAGACTGAGGTGTGGCCAGACTCAGGGTGATCTTTCTGGATGGGGCGGGTCCTCTCTAGGTGCAGAAAACGCCCAGGGAGACAGAAGCAGAGGGATGTCGGGATTGGAGTTCAGAGCAAGGCCCCCACTCACCTCAAGCAAAGGGCAGGGACTGGAGGGCATTTTCACATGGGTTTCCATTTGTTCTGGAACAATTCATTGAAATGATTTTTATTTCTTCATTGCATTATCTTGGCACCTTTGTCAAGAACAATTGTGAGAGTTTAATTCCTGACTTTTCATTTATGCTTCACTGTTCTTTCTTGTTTCTTGGTCTTCTATAAATATTGGATTTTCGTGTCTCCAGAAGACAGTTGTTTCTTTTGGTTTACACTCTAAAACTTTTACTTATCTTTTTGTCATCTGCTTGTACTTACTATGCTCACAAGTACAATTTTGGGTGATGGGACCAAAACAGGCATCTTTTTTTTCATTTTTTAAAATTTAAATTAGAAACAAGTTTTCTTCACATGTCAATCCCAGCTCCCTCTCCCTCCCCTCCTCCCCCACCCCTGCACAATGCCCCCCAGCCCCCCTCGCAATCCTACTCTGATCCCCAGAGAGAGTGAGGCTCTCCATGGGGGATCTCCAGAGTCTGTCTTTTCATCCAGGGCAGGGCCTAGGCCCTCCCCCTAGAGTCCCAGCTGAGAGAGCCTCCCATATTGTGGCATGGGCAATCAAAGTCCATTTGTATGCCAGGGATAAATACTACCCAAGGCTCCATAGATTGCCTAGGCCTCCTCACTGACACCCACATTCAGGGTATCTGGATCAGTCCCATGCTGTCCTCCTAGCCATCAGTCTGGGGTCCAAGAGCTTGTTTCTGTGGGTTAAACCAGCCCAATCTGACCCCTTTGCTCATCAGTCCTCCTTTTCTGTCACTGGATTCCAGGAGTTCAGTTCAGTATTTAGCTGTGGGTGACTGCTTCTGCTTCCAACAGTGACTGCATGAAGGTTCTTTTTCCCAGACTCTCTGACAGTGGGATTGTAAGCTGACACTCTCCTGGTTCATGTCTAAAATCCATAAATGAGTGAGTACATACCATGTTTGTCTTTTTGTGACAGGGTTACCTCACTCAGGATGGTTTCTTCTAGTGCCGTCCATTTGCCTGCAAATTTCAAGATTCCATTGTTTTTTTTTTTCTGCTGAATAGTACTCCATTGTGTAAATGCACCACATTTTCTATATCCACTCTTCAGTTTAGGGGCATCTAGGTTGCTTCCAGGTTCTGGCTATTCCAAATAATGCTGCTATGAACATAGTGGAACAGATGTCCTTCTGTAAGAATGTTCATCTTTTGGGCATATGCCTAAGAGTAGAATTTCCTTGGTTAACATTATCCCCAGATATTTGATGCTGTTTATGGCTATTGTAAAGGGTGATGTTTCTCTGATTTCTTTCTCAGTCACTTCATCATCTGTATATAATAGGGCCACTGATTTTTTTTGAGTTTACCTTGTATCCTGCCACATTGCTGAAGGTGTTTATCAGCTCTAGGAGTAACCTTGCGGAGTTTTTTTGGGTCACTTATGTAAACTATCATATCACCTGCAAAAAATGAAAGTTTGACCTTTTCCTTTCCAATTTGTATCCTCTTGATATCCTTTTATTGTCTTATTGCTCTAGCTAGAACTCATGGACAATATTGGAAAGGTATGGACTAGGTGGGCAGCCTTGTCTTGTTCCTGATTTTAGAGGAATTGCGTTGAGTTTCTGTCCATTTAATTTCATCAAAACAGGCATCTTTATCTTACTCCTGATTTTAAGGGGAAGTCTTTATTCTCTTGCCCTGTGACATGAATATATTGTTAGCCACAGGTTATTTTCATAGATAACTTTTACCAGGTTGAACATGGTTCCTTCAATTCCTTTTTAATATGGTGTTCATAGCATTGGGCGTGTATTTTACTCAAAATGAGAGTACCACAGAATTCCACATGAATTTGAATGAAAGTGGGAAAGAATGTATGGGAGGCTGCGGAGTGTAGAAGTGCAAGGGATTAGTGTTATAGTTAAGTTATGAACCAAAAAGAGGAACATATACAAACAACAGGTGTGGTTATATGTCTTCTTGCCCAGTTGTCTTAGATTAAAAGTCACAATGGAGAACAAGGTTTTCTAAACTTTGACTTTAAGAGAAATAAATAATCAGAAGGTAACTCATATGAGTCTTAGACACAGAAGAAGCATAACAATTCCAAAGAAGACAAAAGTCAAAGAAGTTGGAAGCCCTTTGCTGTAGGGGCAAAACATTGTAAGGATGCAGCTGCTAGTTCAGGTTTAATCCTGTAATAGTAGTCCCCAACAATAAACTGGAGACATCTGTAAAAGAGATAAACTGCCAGCTATTTGGAAAGTATGATTTGTCTATTGGGGACTCAAATTGTTGTGGATTTGCTAAATTCCCAGAGTGCAGATTGATGACTTGGCTGTAGCTTGCTTGCACTCTAGTTAGTATTTTATTCTCTGCTTATGATAATGGATAATCACAGTGGAAAGAAAATTGTGGCAGTATTATTTTTTACTAGGTTTCTCATAGGAAAACGCCAGAGACTAACTAGGTGGTTTAAATGAGAAACACGATTCCTCACCACCCTAGAGATTGGGAGTCTAAGATGAAGATGTTGGAAGGTTTGCTACATTTTGAAGCCTCTTTCGCCAGCTTAATGAAGGCAGTCTTCTTGCTATGTCTTCACACAATTTTTTTTGTTCTGAGCACTCATCCCTAGAATCCCTGCATGCCTGGCTTTCCTCTTTTTAAATGGATACCAGTTAAGTTGAATTACAGTTCTCCGCTGATGTTCTCAGTATCAACGTAATTCCTCAATGAAGTCAAGCCACTAAGGGACAGGATTTCAACTTACAAATCTGGGAAAGACAAAATTCAGTCTGTAACAGGGGCTAATTGAAAATAGGCAAATACTACAAAAAGGGAATAGAAGATGGAAAACCTAACGAAATATTTAAGTGTGAATTTGGAGTTTTTAATGTCTGTTCTGTGTGTGCAGCCCAAGATGGAGGCTGAGATTTCACAAAAACCCTCTGCCTGTGGTGTGATAACAAGTCTATTAGTTTTCCTCTGTACAAACAGAAATATTCTTAAAGCACGGGGTGGGAGGGGATTGGGCTATAGCAGCTGCAGAGAAAAGACTTTTGGGGGTGAACAGGAGGTTTCTTAGGTTGTACATTGTTTAATTCCTCAACGGAAATGGGAACAATGTCACTTTTCTCTTGTACAGCAGAATTAGGAGACTTTCATGAAGAAACAGTTAGGAAGCATCTGGTACAAACCCGGTATTTACCAAGCCAAGACTGTTTGGAGAGCAAGATCATGCAGTTTCATCAGCAGCACATGTAAGTACTTCCCTGGACACCCACCTTCCCATTAGAGGACACTGAAGTTAGGACAGGCTCTTTATAAGGCAAGCCTTTAAGTCTCAGGAAAACACTCAACTCCTCATATGTCTCTCAGAAGAAAGGTGTTGGGGGGTGAGTTTTGCTGCATTTTTCGGGCTCATTAATCCTTTCCCATTGCAGTGGCCGGAGCCCAGCAGAATCAGACATTCTGCTGCTGGACATAGCAAGGAAGCTGGATATGTATGGCATCAGACCTCAGCCTGCCAGTGATGGTGAAGGGATGCAGATTCACCTGGCTGTTGCTCACATGGGAGTACTGGTGTTGCGGGTAACCATCCTCCCCTTGAGTCCCCTTCAGTGTGCTGGGAGTGGTGATCATGGCTTTCACTTGAGTATCTGTTCCCCAGAGGGTTTATAAGACTTTGTCTTGCCACCAAATAGAAGGGAAGTAGAATGTGTAAATGGTGTACATAAGCTGTAGGCCTACAATGTGCTTTCCTCTGTGTGTGGGCATTAATGTACTGTCTGGGTTTGAGGTCATGACACTTTAGATTAGGCCAGCATGGTGAAGTGGTAAAATCAAGAGACTCTAGGGACTCTTAGACTGTAGATTCAGATATCAAAAAAACCTTAGGCTGTATACTAGTTTCCAAATGGTTAAGAGCTACCCCCAAGTGATCCAAACTGTGATGCACCCTTACTTATTACTCGTTACATTGAAATGACCAGTGACAGCTGGTAGGGAATGCATGTTGAGTCCTGCCAGCAACTCTTGCTGTTTGCCATATTGTTGTTTTCCCAGGATTTCTTATTTCAAGTTAGAAATCAACTTGAGGTGCCATTGTCTTCTGTCATCATTCTCCTCTAGCTCCTCTAAAGAATTTTGGTTTTCCTGATCTGCTTAAAACCAAAACTCTTTAGAGGAGTGAAAAATGGGGCTTGTGGTCTGCCATCAGAATGTCCAAGGGAGTGTTCTATAAGCACTGGTAATAAGATTGGTGATGCAGAAGACATTTGGGGCAGGAGAGACTGGGCAGGCCACAGGAATGAAGGTACACATACAGACAGAAGTTTAAACTAACAAGCAGCAGGAGACATGACTGTACGCCGAACAGCAAAACCCAAGTGACATTTGATGATGTGGCCAGTGAGTAGCTACTGGAGATGTTTGAGTAAATGAGGCAACAGGAGAAATGGGCTTTTCCTTTCAGTGCTGGTGTGTGGAAACAGGGAGGAGGGGTGAGACTGTAGAAGAACAATCCATTCTTATCCAGTCTCCATTTGCACCTTCTCGCTTATGTAGTGGAGGAACTTGTGTTCTGCCTGCAACGATTAAGAGCAGCCACTGCTTATTCCACGGGCTGTCTCTGGATAAGGGTTAGCCTCAGAGAGTCGTATTCAGAAAGAACACTTTCCATCACACTTGTATGTGGCACAATCCAACTCATGCAGACAGTTCTAAAACTGGCTATGTGTTTCATTATAGGGAAATACAAAGATCAATACTTTCAACTGGGCTAAGATCCGCAAGTTGAGTTTTAAGAGAAAGCATTTTCTCATCAAACTTCATGCTAATATTTTGGTGAGTAGGTTTCTAATACATTCTATTTCTGTTCACTTGGCATTTCGTCGTTGCTCTAGAAATGGTTTGAATATAAATGGTGAAAGATGCTTGGATCTGAGGGGTGATAGGCCTCCTCTTTGTTCTCTATATAAACTGAGCTGAGATTTAATGACACTTTAACTAAAGGCAAAACACTATGACATCTTATTTGCACTTCAGAATAAATGATACAATATGAAAAGGAGGCAGCTGGACTAAAAGACAAGTCTTTTGAGGAATCTGATGAGTCAAATGGGGGCCACCAGATCTAGGACAACAGAAATAATTAGTTGATGTTTTCTTTTATATTTTATAAAGTATCTTCACTCCCCTTAAGCAAAAATGATTGAACATCAACTGCATGCTTAGTCCATGAGAAGTAGATGTTCATAAAAGCAAAACAAGTCATTCTTAGGCGACTCCACTGTATGAGGTCAGAAAAAAAGGTGTTAGGATGTTTTAATGACTGGCCACAAAGTGGAAAAAAGCTATGTGTGTATCAACTGACTTGGGCCCATAGAAGATACACTTTGGATTATATTGACTAGATTTTGGTATTATGTAAAGGTGTTCATTTGAATAGTCCATGGGACCAGACCAAATGTGAACTTGAAGGGGAGCCTCAGGGGCTACATGCAGGACCTAGGAAGGAATGAGAGGAGGGGACAGTGACCTCTGAGAGCTGATGTGGCTGTTGAAAAGAGGGCTGGGAGCATGCCATAGAGCCTTGGGCCAATGAGTATATGTGGTGACTCAAGATGGGAAAAACGTGTAAGTCCAAGTTCCCTTAGGGCACATAAAAATATGGACTATGCCAACAGAGAAATAAAAGTGCTGTAGTATGAGAGAGTATATAGAGGAAGGTGTATTTCTACCTGGGACTTTGAAAACACTTGCATATATTCAATCATCCTTACAGAGGGAATGAAATCTCCCCCTCCCTCTTCCTGGTAGTCATTTATACCTTCTTGCCACCTTGAAAAGAAGCCCTTTGATATTCATTTTAAGCTAATTTACAACTTCCTAAAATGTTTCTGGCAGCAAAGAGGCAAGGCAGAAAAATATTTAAAGGGAGGGGCATGTGGAAAACAAGCCTGGCTTCCTAGACAAGGCTCTCTGTGTGAGTGGAGGCAGTGTCTGATCTTTGGGAGGTTAATAATCATTTGGTTTCAGTGGCTGTGGAGCCTCTGGGGAGCCAAACGGAAAACACTGCATGGGCTACTGAACTGATGGTTTAGAAGGCTCTGAGTTTGGAAGGTCTTTGGCATTCTCGCAGGATGTTTTGCTTGATAGAAAATGGTTTATACAGGTGTTATGCAAAGACACTTTGGAGTTCACCATGGCTAGCCGTGATGTATGCAAGGCTTTCTGGAAGACTTGTGTGGAGTACCATGCTTTCTTCAGGCTTTCCGAAGAGCCCAAATCAAAGCCCAAAACACTACTCTGCAGCAAAGGTTCCAGTTTCCGCTACAGGTAATTGCACACTGTGCAAGGAAAGACCATGCACACTGCTTCTTTTCAATAACATGGGAAGCAGTGGGAGGAATCTGAATTTCAGGAGCAAGAAAGAATCCATTTAACTCACTTGAAAGATTGTGTACATTGCATTAGGTCTGTATTTAGTAAGCAAAGGGGTTGGATCAGAATCACAGTGAGGATGCAGGGTAGCAGAGGGTGTTTGAACAAAATATATTCAATGAACTTACTGTCTCCTATAAAGGCAGCTTATATGCAAGATGCAGAAGGAAAGCTCAACAGCATCCATTCATGACATCCAGCGAAAAGATAGACGGAGGAAACACTGGGGGGGGGGGCGTCAAGGGATTCGAAAGACAGAACGATCCCGCATTAGAGGCGTCTCAATACAGTTCCCACCTTAGAAGAATTGAAGTGGGGTAGAATTGAGCTCTGAATCCATTGGGAGAAGCTTACAAAACTCTACTGATTACAAAAATAATTCTAATCATAATGTTTCCACATAAGGGAGTTTTCATACTCTGGAAACCTGCCCTTGTAAGAGTAGAGATATTAAAAAGACCACATTTTTGATGGAATGTTTCCAAAGTGTACTCTACAAATCCCTGTCTTCTCAAATAGATGATATTGAGCATGTTTTGCTCTTTCTTAATGATTTGAGTTCTTGCAACAATCCTTTGCAGACAGCTGTAGCACGACAATGACCTTAGGTAGGGAGGCATGTCAGGCCTTGTTCTTTGGTTAAATGACCCCCAAAGTTTGGGTTACATTATTATTGTGACTTCTTTCTGCCTCTCGTGTTTCTCCCAGCAGTCAGCTAGAGTTCTTTATAAATATAAACGTACCTGCAGCGATCTTTTTCTACTGTTTAGTTAGCTGCTTGGCATCTACTTTAGATTGGGAATCTAAATAAATAGCTTCCTTAGAATGAGCTTGTAAAATACGAGTCAGTTGGTACTTTACAGGTTTTTTTAAGTCTATATTTTGGATAGTTGACATCACTCTATTGTTGATGTCTAGACAAGTAGGTATAGCATCTGTATGATAGATTGACAATATGTGCCATTCATCCACTTTAGGCTTCAAACAAAGGTGAGGCTTTCAGGTTTCAGTGGCATATAGGCTTATGATGGAATTAATGATGTTTGTCTCTTCTTTATGATAGTGGAAGAACTCAAAGGCAACTTTTGGAATATGGGAAAAAGGGGAGGTTAAAGAGCCTGCCGTTTGAAAGGTACACCCTTTTCCTTCTCACTTCTCATGCTATTGGAATGTATCCTATAATTTGCATAATGAGCATTTCAATGACTTCTTTATTTGGGAATTTCAGGAAACAGTATCTGGCTCAGTATCATGAACGGCAATGCAGGTCATCACCAGACATTCTCTCTGATGTGTCAAAACAAGTAAGGTTTCTGAAAAGCCCTACTTCTTTAGATAAGTATAAATCATCCAGTCTTCCAAGAATCAATTTTGCCAGAACCCACTGTGTACCAAGGTCACTCCATGTGAGGTTAGCCATTTGGAGAGGTCTTGGCACAGTCATTCCTGCTAATAGGCCACATGGTAAACTACAACTACTTGTTTACTGCGGGCAAGAGAAACCCCTGGTGTACCTTCAAATTGCAAACTGTATTATCAACATCTTGAAAAAATAGATACTAATACATTTCTATGACTTCATAATTTTAAAACTAAAAGCTCTGTTATTTTGCCAGTGGAAACCATAAGGCTTCAAGAAAGGTATAAGGTGTTGCTTCTTACTTGTGTAATATGATTTATGGATGCATTTATGTCCCTGAGACTGTAGGATGATGGCCTCATTAGAGACTTTAATCAGGAAACTTGTTGATCACATTTCTTTGACCCTGTCTACAAAAGGTAATTGGAGGTGCCATAAACTCGCATGCCTTCACTCAAGATACAGATGGTTTTTATCCAAAAGGTATCAGAGGTAAACTGATGAAAGAGACCATCTAGGTCATAGACCATCTATGAATCCTTCAGGCCATTCACAGCTCTCCTTTCTACCTTTAATTTACAGAAACTGTGGAGGAGGCTGGAGTAGCGACATTAGACTGTGGTGCCTAAGGTCCATGCAGCTAGTCAAAGGCAGACAGGGATAGGGTTCCTACTTTATTGCTATAGCTACTAAACTGAACTGCTTGAAATACAATGGTACCTGAAGGCCCCATGAAGCATAGAGTCTAGAAATGGTGTGTCACTAAGAATGAAGAATGCTGTATGTATTTTCTAACATACACCTTGGGACATGGTTTAAGTCATTACCCTTTCAATACATATATTTATCTGTTGTGGAGAAGAACGTGGATTTCAATGGATTTGTGAAATCAGCCTTTCATATTAGGAGATTAACTAAGACCCTCCCCCAAGTCCAACTAAAGAGCTTTTTTTTTCATCTGACATCAATGTGTCTTGTCTTTCAAGGTGGAAGACCTGAGGCTTACATATGACAGCCATTACTACCGAAATGTAAATGGAGTGCATGTGTCTGAGCCTATGCTAGACAGTAGGAGGAGGAACTCAGCGATTGAGGTGACATTTGCAGCTGAGCTGGAGCGTTCCAAACCAGAGGCAGATCCCACATCACTCCATGCATCCCAAAGCAGCTCCTCTTTCACCTTTATTTATGCAGATCCTGTCTTTAACACTGACCCTGATCCCATAGACTTCTTTGAAGAAAGGAGCCCTCTCAGCTCCTTCCAAACAAGCTCTAAGTTTGTGGACAATCACATAAGCACATCCACTGGTTTCACAAGCAAAGTGAGTCCAGCAAGGCAGCTAACATACACTGATGTGCCCTATATTCCTTGTACTAGTCAACAGGTTGATATTATGCCTCCACAAGTCTTTTTTTATGTAGACAAGCCACCCCAGGTACCCAGGAGGTCTCCAATCATGCCAGAGGAAAGTGTGAGACCAGACAGCTATATAGATCCCAGTGCAATAAAACCAGCCAAAAGAAGCCCAAGGAATATCAGGATAAAAAGCTTACAGCAAGACCTTCAAGAACTCCAAGAAGCTATGGCTAGAACCAGTGGTAGAAGCACTGTCAGTGAAGACCTAGGGGAGGAAGACCCACATTTAGATGACGCATTTGCATATAACCTTCAAGAGCCAACTCCTAAACGATCTCAGAGTCAATCAGACATGAAAACTATCCGTTTTCCTTTTGGGTCAGAATTTAGGCCTTTAGGGCCTTGTCCTGCTCTGACTCGTAAAACAGATCTGTTTACGAGTACATTTGCAGAGCAGGAGTTCCCCACAGTTCTAACGAACCAGAGCTCAGCAGAAAGGTATGTAGCTAGTGAGTCTAGTGATTCAGAATCGGAGATTCTCAAACCAGACTACTACTCTTTGTATGGCAAAGGAACAAAGTCACCGAGGGCCCGAATCCGCTTGTCTTCTGGTAGTCTGCAGCTAGAGGAAGAGGATGAAGATATTTCTTTCACCACACCAAGTGTTGAAGATAGAACTTTGTTAAAGCCATGCAACTATTTCTTAGCTTAAAAAGAGTGGACTCTATGAATGTTCCTGGCCGGTTCCACGTTACCACCTTAGGTAAGACATAAGCACCTTTTTGATGTGCCCTTTCCTTGGTCATCTTAATTGATGTTAAGGGAGGCTTCTCATTTAAGGCACCCAGCTTATGAAAGATCAAGTTATTGCCTCATTCTATGAGCTTCATTCTTTTATTTCCTCCAAACAGACTCTGGAACATGCCTTCTCCTCGCCAGCACCATGGCAGTGTGGAGGGAAGTGTATGCCATCACCCTTATACATTTCTGTGAGCATATAGTATAAATGAAGACCTATTCTTCAATGCTGAAGAACAATGATGATGTGGGTTGGTGTATGGGACTGGCTTCTAATGCTGCTTTGTGATTTAGTGGTCCATGACTATGTTGGGTAATTTCTGTGCTTATGTAACACTAAACTGTGGTTTCTCTCCTCATGAGTTGTTTGGGACCCAGTGAACAGTCTTGTTATATACTAAGAATGTCAATATACATAGGTGAGTGGCATAGATCCTCTCAGCAAAAAAATGTTTAGAATTAATAGAGGATTTAACAGAATTATCAATGCTGGAAATTCATCGATTAGGCCCATTTCTCAAGCCAGATGTGTGCCTGACGAAGATATTATGGTGTTGACTTCTAATTTCTCTCTTCTTAACTACTTATTATGTATGATGGGAATCAATGCTAACAAGCAAGTTTTTAAAACTAATATCTCCTGCTGGTATTTATTTTTGCATATATCTTGGTTGCATGTATGTAGGCAAGGATCCGAGGTATTATTTAATAAAGAGCAATGGAAAACTCATTCAAACAGAAGTTGTAAGTATGGCCTTCTTTTTGCTTTAATAAAATTCAGAAGTAGATGGTTCTGGCCTGTATCAATAGAACAGGACAGAGATTGGAAAAATGACAGGGAGAAAAGAAAAGGTTTGGCCAGGGATGAAATGGAAGTAAGGGATGGCTGAGACAAAAAGAGACAGCACTGATACCAGGCTCTGACACGGAATGAAAATTGTGTTGTGTGGTTGTTGTTTTTCTCAAGAAGCCAAGGCTGGTCTCCAACTCATGATCCTCTGGCCTCAGCCTCCTGTGTGCTAGGGGTTACAGTGATATAGCACAGTGTCAAGATGAATTTGTTTGCTTTTTAAAAAATGTTATGTGTATGAATATATAACTAAATGCATGTATATACACCATTTGCATGCCTGCTGACCATAGAGGCCAGAAGATGGGGTGGGATCCCCTGGAATAAGAGTTACAGATAGTTGTGAGCCACCATGGCACTAGGAACCCAAACCAGGTCCTCTGCTGAAGTGGCCAGTGTTTTTACGCACAGAGCAATTTCTCTACCTCTCAAAATTCAATTCTTGACATAGTCAATATTTGTCTACCAATACTCCTGGAATACTATAGAAGAACTTTGTTGATAATATTAAATCCAATGTATTTACAAGACAATGTTAAATATAAATGTCAAAGAAGTGAAGTGATGGCATAAACAATTTTATATGTGATAGAGAATGGGTAGAAAATACATTTCTTCATTTTTTTAGACAGAATGTCTCTCTATTGCATTGGAGCCTGTCCTAAAACTTGCTCTTGTAGAACAGGCTGGCCTCAAACTCACAAAGATTTGCCTGCCTCTGCCTTCTGAGTGCTGGGATTAAAGTCATGCACCACCATCTCCCAACCATTTCCTTATTCTCTACTTCAGAAAAAAACAACTTTAATATGCTTCATTTGACTCCTTTTTCTGTTCCTGGACACACATTCATCAAATTACAAGAATAGAGCGGTTATTTAAAACTAAGACTATACAGAAGCATGACCACCTATACATAATCTATATAGTTGCTGTTATTTTTAAAAATTACTTGAAATTCAAAATTTTGTATGTTATATGTATTTTCTCATCTCATCTTCATTTCTAAAAACTTGGGCTAAATGTGTATTTTCCCTAAGAGCTATAAAGTTCAAATCTGTATGTGCTATTTTATTAAAATGGTAATTAGGAAGATCATTGAATTGGTTGTCTGAAGACATGTTTGAAAGGTCTATTAATACTTTTGTTAAGGTAGGAGGCAAAAATCATAACATATGTGTTTAGCTATAAATAGAGTCAGTTCTTAGTAACTTTTAGTTTCAATGGAAACCTTGGTTATGTTCCAATAATAAAAGAGAAGGAAAAATTTTTAAAATATTTAGGATAACATATCAGACCCACCTTCAAGAAAACAAACATCAAAGATAATACAATTTAAATATTTATTTTTAAAATCCCCCAAATACTGAAGTATGCTTCACCTAGAAACAGTCTACAGGACTAAAGCTATAATGAGTAAGCAATACAAGTTGTATTTGGGATGCAGTTATGCAATAAGGTTTTATGTAATCAATTCATGAACTTGTTGATTTTATTTTTACAAAAATACGAATGTAATCAATGATTCAAGTCACAATTATTTGTAGAGCACTGTGGAGAACAAAGTGTAATTGAATTTCAATTACAGAGCAGATGAAAATTCTAACCAAAACATTACTTCAAAATACAATCAATTAAAAGCAACTATTACAGTATAGGCACCAATGTAAAGAATTTTCTTGGCATATGACATTACACCTTCTCAAGTATTTGTATTTTTTTAAAAGAAGGGATGTAATGGCCACTTCACCTAAACACTGCATTGTTTACTTGTACAACAGTTTTCTTTTAATGTTTGGCAGTTATTAAGATATTTTAAAAATCATTTGTGCAAAAACCAAATGTGCAGATACAAACATTGAAATCTGAACTGTTGAAATTAATCAGTACCAACGAGTCTACAACTATGAAACTATAGCCCCAGTTCAGCACTCAGGTAAGCATTATATATATATAATCGCTAAAAAAGCATATTACCCACTTAACAGTACCATAAATAGAACTGAAAATTAACTGTACAGTCTATCTTACCTTTGTATGAAGAGAAATGATCCTGCCCTATGAGCTAGACAATGTTCACTTAAATACCCTTTCAAAACTGAGCACACTATGCTTATGTGTGGATAATTATAAAGAAAAATGTATAAATAGTTTCTACGAAAATGCATTACTGTGACAAAAGATGCTGGTGTCATTACGTTCATACGTATTGATCAGGTATTTACTCACAAGACAACAAACAAGGTTGCTAAAGTTTTCTAAATCTATGCATGTCTATGTTATTTGATCTGAAGATTTAAAGACTGAAGCCAGGTTAACTCCTCCAGTTTAACCAAACCCCCATTCTTGGCTAAATGATATTACTTTAAATGTCTAACCATGTTAAATAAGGGTTAATTGCTTCTTCCTTCCGGAAGAGAAGATAAAAAGACCAAGAGACATGTTGCCTGGAAATGCTTCAAACACAAGTTTCTCAAATGTGATAAACAGAGCTAGCTGCCTGGAATCCAGAACACCTTGCTAGAAAAATCAATACTTTTCTAGGTGTTTTTTTCCAAGAGCTTATTAAATATATTTGTTTTAAGAAGGTACGACTTACTTCCACCTCCCTGCATATACATAGTCATTTTTAGAATGTTTGCATGAAAAGAATTCTTTTTGAAGTTTGATGATTTACATACCTCCAATATTTAGGATGACCTTGAAAGACCTGTATGTTTCATGAGTGTACAGCTAACTAAAGATTGAAAACCAAACAGTATTCATTCTAGTAACATAAGAAATAATGGTATCTAAATAAAAAAACTGTATCTCAACATTTACTACAATACAGGCAAAACTATAGCATTAAAATTATTTCTTACAAAATAATCTCTTTAAAATACAAAATGATAGCCACCATCACAAAATAGTTGAATAGCTTCTCCTCCTAAAATCTTCAATGTCGCAAAGATCCAAAAGGCACCTGGAGCTCATGGGTTAAGCATTACTAAGGTTGACATAGCTTTGGTGGATTTCTCTGGGTCCATATGAAACAGAAGCCAACAATAACAACAACAAATTTCTTAAGAGGATTCATCAGTGGAGCACCTATAAAAGTAAGAAAAGTATAAATCAATGTATAATTTTAGATAAGTAATCTATATTTCTCACTCATGAAATCTAAAACCAATGGAGACAAATTAATTCCATCGAATCTTGCGTCAATGGATGGTAAAAAATGCAAAGATGGTTAAAAATTCCTCTGCATCTGCTTTCACGACTTGCAATGGATTTGTTTGTAAACAAGAAAAGAGATGGGAGTTTCCTAGTAGAATCTGGGGGATTTTAAGAATGCTTTAGCTCCTGAGTCCTCCATAGGATTTAACGGATGGAAGAAAATTTTTGAACAAAATCAAACTAATAGGAGACAAGACAGAAACTGAACACAAAGCTTCTATTACTGTCTAGGTCAGTAGTTCTCAACCTGTGGGTCATGACCCCTTTGGGTGCCATCTAAGACCATTGGAAAACACAGATATTTGCATTAATATTCATAACAGTAGCAAAATTACAGTTATGAAGTAGAAATGAAAGTAATATTATGGCTGGGGATCACCACAACGTGAGGAGCTGTATTAAAGGGTCACAGCATTAGGAAGGTTGAGAACCACTACTGAAGACTGTTTTCTCTAAATCTTTTAATCAACATTGCGTAAGAGTTCAAATGTAGGAACTTAGTTACTGGAAATAAACAGAATAGTGGTGTTTCTGAGAATATTAAGAGTTCTGTCAAGAAGAGAAACATGTATAATGTTACATGTGCCCAAATTTCATCCTAACAGAGAAAGAGAGGGCGTAAACCTGGGCTGTTTGGTTCAGTAGGAAACTACCTTTCAATAGGTAAACATAATAGTTCAAGAGTTAATACTGGACTGGCTCAGTGGTCTAAGTGCTTGAGGTCCAAACACAAGGACTTGAATTCAGATCCCTAATGCCCACGTTCTTGTCAGCTGCGATTGAGCCCCATAACTTAAGCATTGGAGGACAAAGAGGAGTCTTCCTGAGGATCACTGGATAGATTGTCTGGCTAAAAGGGCAAGTTCTAGGTTCAGCGAGAGACCCTGCCTCAAAACATAAGGTGGAAAGTAATAGGGTAACAAACCCAATATTGAGCTATTTCATACACAGGTCCATGTGCAAGTAGCTCACCCACATACCCATGTGTATACAACGTGTACAATGCATGCGTGCATGCACGTACAAATGCATACACACTTCTACAGAAAGCAACGTTTTATATGAGCAAAAAACAAAGCTCTTTTCAAGTATACAATGATTAAAAAGTGATTTTGCAGGGGAAAATATAAATGACTGCATCAAAGTAACCATACTCCATCATGAATCAATATCCAAAATGTCAACATCTTTTTGAAAATGATACTTCAAACTTACTTTTGAAATTTTTCAATTAATTTCTTCACCATTTTATCTGTGATGCCAGGGCAGGCAGCTTCAGCCACCGCAATACTTTTCTCAAGCTCTTCAATTGCCTGGTTTCGGCTCGCATTATTCTCATCCTGCTGTTTGAGCTGAAGAAGAACGATAGCTGTAACAGTTCAAATACCCTGCCACTTGAGACAGATATCGGATACTAAATAACCCGAACTTACTTCAGCAAATGCAGGTGTGATTATCATAGACAAACAGCTCAAGGTCTGCACAAGATCTTGCTCCTTTGAAGAAATGATACAGATTGCACACATGAAATTAAAACAATCATTCATGGCTGTTCTTAGTTATTTGATAACAAATGTGAATCAATTTGAATTTCCCCTTCAAAAGACCCAAGATAAGGCCAGTCCCTACATTTTCTTTCCGTCACAAATTCTCATCTGTCAATG